ATGTTTATTTTATTTGATATGCAAAATAATATATGACATAGTTGGTATTACTTTCATTTATCAATTAAATAATGATAAGGGGTGGGTTAGGACTTGAACCCAGGGCCATGTTACTTCAAGCACACATACCTTGTGCCACAGCAGCCCCTCCTATAAGGAGGACATTCTTAGTAGCCAGTAGATGATACTGTCCACTTACCACTCTGGCCAGCAGCTCTGCATCTCGGTCTAGGCAACCTGAGCCAGTCTATGTGGTAGAAGGATGAAGTCAAAGGGACCCCAAGCCATCATCCAGTGGGTCTGTGATTGTGTCTATTCTGTTATTCTGTTGAGAGTGTTGAGAAACATAACTCCCCAACGACTCCCTCTGCTTGGCACAAGAAATCATTGAGTGCCATGTTCAGAAGCTACTATTTTGGAATAATCAAGCTGTAGAAAATGCGCTTCAGGAGAACAAATTAGGAACCACTCAACCCAAAATGTGGCAGTTGACAGAGCCCATGCCACATGCCCATGCCGCGGTTGAGAACTCGAGCCTCTAGAGCTGCCCGACTACTTCCCTATGATGTACTTGCCTGCACCGTGCTGTCATCTCCCACAATAAGGCAGGTTACATCTGTGAATCCACATATCACAGTGAAGACAATAAATATTAAATAATAATTATTGTTTCTTTCACGCTCGCTGACAGGATAAAATCCAGGTAAAGATCCTTTAAGGTCTAATTACTTCGTAGGCATTGAAACCAAACTGCTAGTTGAAAAATTAATTGTGGAGCAGTGGAAGATGGAGTAGTAGGAAGTTGTTTTGAGCGGTGGTGTCACTCTGAGACTCCACGTAAGATGTAGAGCCATAAACACCGATGCGAACTGCCAAAAATGACTGAGCAAGAGAAGCCTAGACATGCAGCTGTCATTGAATGGACTTGGGTGCATTTCCTGATTACTTTGGCACACGACAGATGTGTCGAATGAGTGGCCATCTGAATTAATTAACTAATAGAGCAGAAATGTTGTTAGGGATATTTAGAACAATATGCAGATGATCTCCGCAGCATGAATGAAGGCCTCAAATATTAATAACAATACGTATAAGATTATCTAGATTATTATAATATTAAGGCTATATTACTGTGATTAATATGAAATGTTAATATTGATATTAATATCATTAGTAAATAATATTATTAACATCTGTGTTGATAACAGTATATTGTATTAACATAATTAATATAAAATATCAACAATAATTACTAAGATTTACTGAGTGCTAACTATGAGCCAGGCCCTATTTTGAGTGCCATATGTACACACACACACACACACACACACGCACATAACCTCATTTAATCCTTATGATGAATTGTAAGGCAAATGTAATTATCCTCATTTTATAAATGAGGCAATGGAAACACAGAGAAGTTAAGTAAACTAGCCAACATCACACAGTTAGTAGTAAATAAGAAAAGGATTTTCCAGGCATGGGCAGGTTTGCTATGCCATTCTTTTAAGAGATCACTGAGTTTGTAGGATCTTGAAGAAGTATCCAGAGATCATCCAGTGCATGGGTTTCAGACTACTCCATGAAACCCTGGAAGTTGCTTTTGAAGTTCTACCAATGATGATGTATTTGTGCCAAACAGGGAAGAGCTCCCTAGAAAAATATTTGTTGCCTGAACCTGCTTTGCATATTGGATTTCCACATAAGATTTTATTTTTAGAGAAAAGAGTGTTTCACTGGTGTAGGTCAGGGACTGGCCAACGTTTTCTATGAAGGGCCAGGTATTAAATATTTTAGTTTTTTGGGGCCACATTGTCTCTGTTGCAACAAGTCAACTCTGCTGTGGTGGTACAAAAAGAGATCTAGACAATATGTAAACAAATGAGCATGACTGTGTTCTCATAAAACTTTATTTATAAGAGTAGGCTGTGGACCAGATTTAACTTGCGGTCCATAGCTTGCCAACCTATGGTCTACATCATGCCCCTGTGGGCAAGTGGAGTTTACCTAAACTTTCTAAACAGATGGTTGTCTTGCTTGCTCACAGAGAGAAGATATACCATCAAAGACCTCATACTTGATAGTGTCTATCATCAGAAAGCCTATGATCCAGTTTAAGAGAAAAGGAAACTAATGTGTTTTGAATGTGGACTTTGTGCCAGGTACTCTACTAACAGTTCTATGTGTAGATCAATCCCCACTGGGTGGATGTCATGAGCCCCTTTAACAAAGACAGAAAGAGGTTTAAAGAGGAGAAAATGGTACTTCAAGTCAAGCCAAAGTCTCACTCTGTGCCATCACATCATACTGACATGGCCAAGCCACATGGCTTGTTCTGCCATGAAATATAGTGGAAGGTCCTTATTGTCACCCTCAGTCTGCTCTTCTCTTGGAATCCAGTTCACTTCATAACCTGTTTGCCTCCCCAAATGCTTTTACTCTTTCTGTTAATAAGAGACTTAAGAACTAGTAATACCACTTCCATATGGATTTCCCAAGGAATAACCCAAAAGGAGAATAACCTTGCAATTTCAGTAAGCTGTTCCTCCATTCATGCTTTCTGGTCATTTACTGTGTATCTTAGCAGGCTGCATTGGGGATTTGTATTAGCTGGTGATCCTCCATGATCCATATGGCTTTTAAAATATCATTTTTTATCTCTACATTTTGTTTTCCACTTCCTGTTTTTGTCTCTCTTAATTCATACTCTGCTGAGAAATTTTGGAATTCTAAGTCCTCAGTAACCTCCTTTTCCTCAAATATATAATGGGACCACTAGCCTAGTTATGTGCTACCAGTAGATAAATTTGATTTCTTCCTTTTGCATGGGATAGGTTGAAAATTTGAGACTGGGATATTGATAGTTAGAATATTAAATCTCTTCCAGAACACATTTACTGCCTTTTTTCATGTTGACCCAATTGCCTTGGACCTGAAGGATCTCTTACATCTATTTTCAACTCATTCGGGATTGGTTTCCGCGGAAGAACCAGTCAGCCCCATTCAACTGGCAATAGGAGTTTGGCACCATCCGAGAAGTGAGCAAAACTATCACGCCTCGCGGCTCTCAGTTCCAGAAAGGTCTACATCCAGGAGCCACCGGTGTTGTCCTCCACAACCGAATGGTGATCCAGCTGTATGTGAAACAGAAGAGGAATCCATCACATGTGGAAAACTCAGTCATCAATAAGCAGCTCTGCAGGCCTTTCGGTTAGGGACCAACCACAGCACTGGCTCTCCATCAACAATCAAGCAGTCTTTAGCTGTGATCGGCCACTTCCATCACCTCTGGGACTGGCAGGTTTCCAATAAAGCCAATAGCCTCCTCCCCCAGGGCAGGGTCGTCTGCAGGCAGCAGCCATTGTCTTTCAGCCCAGCAATCTGACAACAGTGTTAGCTTACACTCTATTAGCCAGCAGCTACACCCTGACCCTTGACCCTGACATTGACCTCCAAAGGCCCTCTCCTGAGGTGGACTGTGATCACTGGAGGAGGCCCGCCCTGCTGGCTAGCATGAGGGAGGGGATCCCTGCTCGCCCCTGCTCCCGACAGGAGGCTTCAGGCTCGAGGCACAGAAACAAGTCCGTGTTGAACCTAAGATGGCAGAGGTGAAAGTTCAGAAGCCTATCCATCAGCAGCCTGTCAGCGACGGACGATGTAAAAACCATGGAAGCTTTCAGCACAGGCATGGCCGTTGTCTCCAGACGGTTCTGCTCCCTAATGGAAAAGACATATCAAAATATGGCTTACAAAATACAAAATAATGGACTGAGATGTACATTATATGAGGGTGTTAGATTGCAATGTACTTTACAGTGGAGGAATTAGATTGAAGTGTTATGCCAGGGTAGTTAGGTTGAAATATGGATTATCCGAGGAATGTTAGCTCGAGATGTGCTTTATAACACAGTTGTTAAATTAAGATGTGCTCTTCAGCGCGGGCATTAGCCTGAGATGTGCATTATAGCCACGTTGTTAGGGGAAGATGTGGATTCCACTTTGGGAGGGAGGGATAGGAGAGAGGAAAAATACCTTGGGTTGAATATTATTCAAGGTTATGGGATGTATTCTGCATGAGATGGATTTCAGGGGTTTGAATAGGCAGGGTAGGAAAGAGCATGGAGTCTGACGTCCCTCCCCTTTCTCCTTTCTTTTCCAGCCGAACAATCTGACACTTTCCCTACTTTTCCTGTTAGGGACTTAAAGGCCTCCCCCATCAATAAAAACATTAGCTCACTAAACAGCCTGATGGCTTTTCCTTCCCTGGCTTAACCCTTCGGGAGCTGGGGTTTCCTTTGGATTTGTAAAGATATTGATTCCAGATAATGTTTGCCTTCCTAACTCTCTCTCCCTTAGACTTGATGGATAGGTTCAGGGCTCCATCTCGGCAGCCAACTCACCGCAGCTACCCAGGGAAAGGGGAATGGGAAACGAGGCAAGTGTTCGGTAGTTAACACCGTTTGAGTCCTTTCCCCGGGATGGACGGGCCGACATGCCGTGGCTGGGGAGACGCTCTGGAGCTACAGTCACTTTAAATCAGCGTAGAATTTCACTTTCAGTTTTCCTCCTCCTCGTCCCGATCCCTCTACAAATATTTCCTTAGTCCAACCTAGAGTGTTTTGTAATTTCTAATTGATATCAGATGCCATCTTGAGGTTGGCTGCCCTTAGTTTGCATTTGTAAAGACTCCTTTTCCAGTTTAAAAAAAAAAATGTGCTTTTCTATAGCATTAGCAACAAGCATAAATACAGGTAACTGTGTCATTTGCTTGTGACACTGGCTGATGTGGGGAGGACATTAATAAACCCTCACCCTAGATACAAATCTTATCCAAGAAAAATAAGAAAATAAGAGGGATGGGAGGGTCATCTTGCTCATAAACTGCGCGGCCTACAAAGGTTTGCAGAGCATCTCCCCGACAGTGCTTTTGTCGTTTCTTCTCTTCCTTAGCTCGGAAGATATAATTTACAGCCTCCAGAAGTCTGGCCTAGCACGACTGGATGGTGTCCAGCTTCGCCGGAATTAGAGAGGTGAGTTCCAACTGTCTTGCTTCTCAATGGAAGAAATGTTATACCAGGTGAGTTAATGCAGTCGAAAAGACTAACCTGCCAGACAAGGACACCAAACAAAATCAAACAGTTCAAAGGAAATTGCAGTGTTACTAGACACCTCTGTGTTACGCCTGAGGTTCCAAGAAAGAGGCAAGCAGGCATTTCTGTGTGTGTGTGTGTGTGTGTGTGTGTATGTGTGTGTTTGAGCCATATTTCTCTAGTTAGAAAAGTGGGTTTGCTGCAAGACAATAGCACTCACCTTCCCTGGCTGAGCTTTCTGTGGGCAAAAAAATGAATGTGATAGAAAAATGCTGTCCAGGTAAAAAAGCAATTCCACCCACCCTAGTATGTCTTTGCCAACACTGTCTCTGTCAATATCTCCACTTTTCCTCTCTCTGAGCATTTCATAGTAAAACACTCTTTAGAAGTTGCCCTTAGTCTCCAGCCTGGTGTGTTCTCTTCTCTTCATAGTGTCCATTCCTGCTTCATTTTCTGACATCACATTTTCCTTAAAAATAGGCTATGAGAGCTATTTCTAACCTTGGTCAAGGGATCTGTCCAACCAGACTCCCACGGGATGTGGGAATGAATTTAAAACCAATCCTGGAGAAGAAAGAAAGAAAGAAAAAAAAAATGGTTGGCTTACTCTCAGACTCAGTTTTTAAAAAATCTGTTGGGTCAAGTGACATATTTGTGGCCCCTTTCCTAGAAGAAGAATTACAAGATGGTTGTCCTTAAATGCCACCAAAAACCCTACCCCAAAGAAGAGCCCAGATGGTATCCTGGCAGAATCTAACCCCCACCCTTTAATTGCTTTGTGAAGTTGGGCAAGTCATTGGACCACTGTCAACCTCAGATAACGGTTTTGTCTAACCTACAGGGATATAATGGATATCAAACGGCCTAATGCGTAGAAAATGCTTAGTCTTTTGCCTGACACAGGGTAATCACTCAACAAACAGTAGCTGTTAACTTTATTATTTTATTATCATACCAACAATCATTGGGATCAATGTGCCAATCACTCGAGTGCCCATGGCATTGACTTACTACATTCCACGCTGCCCTTCACGCACTCAGTCACCCGGCTGGTTTTAGAAACACGCTGTATCTCCTAGACCCACTCCTTCCCAAGACGACAGTTCGTAAAGATTTTCTCTATATGGGAGGAAGGGTAGCCCTGCCAATGAGGGGAAAGACAGACTACAAGGGCCTCACTGATAGAATATAATACCCCCTCTGTACTCGCTGGGAACTGGCCACGATTGTATTTCAAAGGTAACAGTTCATCTCCACCGTGGGTATTGGCGGGCAGTCCATAAATAGGACCTAATGTGATCCGACAGGCTTGATTTCTCTAGATATATATTAAAACAACATGCCCGGTGCTGACGACTCAAAGGTCCTGACCTTTAACAAGGACTTATGACGTCAGGCAACCTGCCCAGGAGGGCAAGCAGGGCAGAAGGCCGGAGGGACAAGGTCATCGGCTAATGAAGTGGTCAGCATTGAGTTTCTGTCACTCAGCTGCTTAAGAGGAAACTGAGAGGGAAGGGAAAGAAAATGGGAACGTTTAAGAAACAAAGGGGAGGACCGCACTGGAGCCAATGCCGTAGATGAATCGACGGTGTCACAAGGCAGGGTGAGGACACGCAGCCCCTCGGAGCCTTCTCTGTGGCCTTGTTCAGTGCTACCCGCTGAACACGGGCTGGTGGAAAGAGCATTTGCGAGACGTTAACTCAATATGAATCCTAAGCTAGAATGAAAATAAACAGGTACTAAAGCACTCTGCTCTTTGGTTCCAGTCCGCTCCAGACACACAGAGTCAGGAAAGAAGTCAAGAGCACAGGCTCGGGCGTGGCCTCCAGACGCATTCTTTCCGTGCGTGGTGGGCAAACTCCCTCCCAAGCCTCAGTCACTATGCGGGAAACTGGAACCGTAACGGTGCCTACCCCAAAGGGAGGGTGTTAGGATTACATGAAAAACTTTATTGGAAAGGATTTGTGCTTGGCACAAAGCGATCACTCAAACATCAGCCTTTATTATTATCATGCCACGTGCTCTGACAGTCTTAGAAAGTGTGAGTTTTTAAAAACTGAGGAGCAAATTGTATATTGCAGAATAAGAAGACAGTTCCATGAGTTTGTCATACAGTGGCAATCTCTAAGCCTTCCCATTTGTGGACAACTTCGAATTTTTGAGCCATACACTCAGCCAACAAATATTTATTGATAACTACTGTGTTGGGTCACAGGCATGGATTCGAATGGATCAGAATTACTCTGGACTTTGTTCTCCCCAGCCTTGCTGGGGAGGCAGAAACATCAGTATGTAGAGCGCAAGTGGTACTAGGTGACAAGAGTGTGGTATGGGGTGGGGCGACCAGTCCTTCTTTGGAAGGCTAGGGAGACGTCAAAGACATGAGGGCTTTCACATCTGTTCTTGCACTTGTTTCTCCAAATGACAGCTTGGGACAGGTGAAGCCAAGGTTTCTCACCCCATTCATTTTAGGTACAAAAAGATCAAGACCTGGCCCCGTTAACTCTTGCCTATTTGTGTGTGGCAGTTATAGTAGAACTGAGACCTTTATCCCAATCTCCAGACTTCCAGGAAAGCACCTTCTCAGCATATTGTGCTAAACTGGGACCACCGATGGCCAAAAGAGGTCCAAAAACTTGTTTCTTAACCAGCCCTCTCATCATAGCCAGATTATAATCCAGCTCCTGAACATCCCAACGCACAAAGAATACAGGAGGTTTCCAATTCCATTTTCTGAGGTCCTTAAAAAGATGATTTGAAACTCTTTCCATCTCACTTCTAAACATGAAGCACTGTGGGTTGGTGGAGCAGCGCTAAGCGCAGACATCAAGGACCGCCACGTGCAGGTCCCAGGAGTATGATGCTCTCCTTCCAATCCCATCGCCACTGGTGTCCAAGGTCCCCAGATTAGAAGTCATTTCTTCGTGGTCCCTGCCCATCTCTGCCTGGCAAGGATGCCATGAGAAACCACTTTGAGTGTTTAGTAAGGAGCATAAAGTTCCAATGGAAATAACTATCAAATTAGTCGGTCGTAGCCTGGGAGTGAAGAGTTGGGGCATCACTGGGGCAACCAACTCTCTGTTCCCATCACAACCCAGCCAAGCCTCTTTCCCAGGATTCGGGGCCTTGGGGATTTTTTGGGTTTGGAGACTTTAAGAGAGCAGCATGATACATATACCACTGATGAAGGCTGGTCTCTTTCTTTTTTTTTTCTTTCAAATATGGACCTAGATTTAAGCTTTTTTTTTTTCTGATTATAAAGATAATATACAATATCCTTAAAAATGCAAGCAATTTATAAAAGCATAAAGAAAGTTAAAATCACCCTAAATTCCACCACCCAGAAGCAAACACTTCATTCTGACAGATGTGTTTCATACATATACATGTATATATATTCTATTTTAAGTAGGTGGTATCATATTAAACGTGCTATCCAGAATATACCATGTCAATGTATTCTAGATTTTCAGTGATTTTCATCAGTTCCTTTTCAATGACTGCATTGCATCCCACTATTGGATATACCATCATTTACTTAACTAATCCCCTCTCAGTGGGCAGTGGTGTTATAAACAATGCTGTAACGAACATCTCTGTGCTTGCTGAACATAGCTAGTTATCTCCTTAGGATAAATTCCTATAAGGTGGGATTGCTGGGGACACTGTTCCCTTCAACCAAATATTGAAAAGAATTCTCATGGAGCAGTGGGAGAATGAAAGGGTAGTAACCAGCCAAGACGAAGAGTCCCATCAACTCCTAGGTGGCCTGTGACCCTTGCAGGAACCCCTGTCCATTCATCTATGGGGAGCGGCAGGTAAGAGAAGGGAGGTTTTCATATCCCTGAGATTAAGCATCATGCTGTGACATTCTAGAACAAGAGGTTTGTTTTCTGTGACTCCCAATTTCCTATTCTTTTCACCCTGGTGTTTGGAGCCCTGGCATATTCCATAGCCTTGTCTGCAGCCAGTGGCGCCACCCTGATCCTTGAACCTTTGGCTGGTGGATTCCATCTTCTCTAGAAGGGGTTTCCTTCCCAGTTGTTTTTCTCTCTATGGGGCCCAGAGGTTGATTAACTCCTTTGGGTAAAAGTAGGCGCAGCCAAGCAGTGAGTTGAGTTGAGTGATTACATTGCAATGTTTTTTAATTTGCCTTTGGACAAATTCTCATAAGCTTTCACGAGAAAATCTCCCATTAGATGTACTCATTTAATTTAAGAACAGTTGGGAGAGGAAGATGAGCTAAGATGACAGATGGAAGAATGCAGATGTATGTCTTAGAGGGACTCAGAGCGCTCTGAGGATTTGCCTTCCTGTAAAACACAGTGTCAGCTTCTCCCGCTTATGTCCGTGGACTTCAGAAATTGTCAAGAAATCATTAGAATACAGGGATTTTCTCAGATGACAAGCAAGCGTCATTATTTTCTAATGTCTGTAAAATCATAACAAGGTGAACAAAAGAACTGAATACTCCCCACACACCCCAAATCTAGGGGGGGGGAATCACTAAATTTGAGTAACCCTTAGAAGAAAGCAAAAGAAAGCCAAAAAATAATACCAACACTGCCGTTTGAGAGACGTTTCCTTTGGTCACACTGCCACAAAGATAACTTTTTTAATTCCATGCTTACTCTGGCTTCCTCCGTACAGATTTTCTGGACATCCTAATTTGGTGTGTATAATTCAACATCTATTACTGTTTTAGGACCATGGTTATTATTTTAATTATAATTTAAAGCTGCCTAATATACCCAGAGGTCACTGGGCACCTAAAAGAAATAAATAAAAACAGCGTGCCGTTTTTAAAAGCAGCATGTTTATTTGCAAGTCCCACGAGCCACTCAACCAAGACATCATAAACCCTTCAAATAAACTCAAACGGAAACAAAATAAAATGTCCGTTCTTAATCTCCTTAGAAGGCAAGCAGGGGAAAGTTGCAGGGAGCTGCGGGCTGGCGTGAGAACTCCGAGGACGGTTTCATTACTGAGTTTGGGAACTGCAGTGTGGATCTCCATGCCCACATTCCACACTGCAGTCTGCCGTGGGTTTACAAACCCTGAGCCTTGGCGTGAAGCTTTAGGCAATGAGAGATCAGTATAGCAGCAAATTTGGTGCTGAAAAAGAAAAGGGCATGCAAAAGGCTTGGAAATGCCTACCTGCTGTCTACTTTATCCGCATGGCTCCTGCTAGTATAAGTATCCATAAAACACGCACAGATATTAGCTCCGATATTTTAAAATGTAGAATGGCTGGAACATCGAAGTCTAGAGATTTTGCATTTAGAAGGCTAAAGAAATTTCAGAACAGTTCCATAATGTTCCTACATGTGAGTTTCCATAACAGAAAACAGTAAAAATCATTTTCAAATCATTTACTGCTAGTATTCTCCATGTAATCAAAGCTGTTATGGTTTGTTAAGCAACAGAATTATCTAGTGGGCAGGAGGCTTACGCTGCTCCAAGACCTGCTAGCTACACAAGTATGCAAATCTGTAAGTCTTTCAGAATCCATTAGACAAACATAGGCTTTCGATAGGAAAGCGTCTAATTCCCTCCACCCCCAGAACTGTCTTAGATAGCTTAGGGTGACTCTCTCTGAGACCCAAAGAACTGGACTGTCAAGTTTGGGTCACTCCAAATTCTGAGAACAAGGCAGAGGGTGATGTTCTCAGAGTGGCAAAGAATGGGGCTCCCAAAGCTGTCCTTCCTTCCTGTGGAAGAAAGAAGAACAAAAGAAGGAAGAGAATGAGGAGCAAGAAAGAAGAAGAAAAAGAAAGAAAAGGGCCAGGAGTGGTGGCTCTTGCCTCTAATCCTAGCATTCTGGAGGCATAGGCGGGAAGACTACTTGAGTTGATGAGTTCAAGACCAGCCTGAGCAAGAGCGAGACCCTGTCTCTACAAAAAAAATAGAAAAAAAAAAATGAGCCAGGCATGGTGGCATGTCCTTGTAGTCCCAGCTACTCAGGAGGCTGAGGCAGGAGGATCACTGGGGCCCAAGAGTTTGAGGTTGCAGTGAGTGCTAATGCCACCACTGCTCTCTAGCCAGGGCAACAGAGCAAGATGAGACCCTGTCTCCAACAAAAGAATAAATAGAAATAAAGAGAGAAAAGAAAAGGAAAAGAAGGAAGGGGAAAAAGTTAGTTGATCAAATGGCCTATTGATTAAGCAAAAAATATAAATAAGGGAAATGGGCCTAGTATAAGGCAATAGGGAGAGGTAGGGACTGTGGAAAGGAGGCCCAGCCTCAGGGGCAGCTGCTACTCAACTCTAGTTGATAGTGCCCAAGCCCAGTGTAACCAGGGCTTTCAATTTTTTTAAAGAATCTGAAAATACCGATTTTTTTACCTGAAATATCTCAGGTTTTGAATGTTAGCAATCAATTTGATTCAAATAATCACGCTTAGAATGATGTTTTCTTTGGTATGGATCAAATAAAAGACTGCTACATGCCACATTCAGTTCATGGGTCATAAGTTTGCAATCTTTATGAGGAGAGAAGTAAACAGTTGGGAACTAAAAATAGCAGTAAGTTCTAGAGCATAGACTGGATAATTTACATCGAAGAGTTCTTTCATTCTCTGTTCTCAGATAAGAGTCTCATCAAGTCTATATACTAATTCCCATCTATGAAAGAAACTACATCCTTTTTCTCTCCCTTTCTATGCAATGTCCTAGAACCCAAAAATAACTATTAGTCTGCTCCATCCTTTCTTTCTGACTCTCTTTGTAAGTATTGGGCTGGTGAATGAATTCTTGAGCAACTTAGTTAGGTAAATGTTTATGATCTCTTAGCCTTCTGAGATAGGGATGGATAAATGCATAGTAAGTATTTGTGAGTCCAGGGGTGGTGGCTCATGCCAAAATCCCAGCACTTTGGGAGACCAAGCCAGGAGAATTGCTTGAGCCCAGAAGTTCAAGACTGACTTAGGCAACTTAGCAAAACCTTGTCTCTACAAAATAATACAAAAATTAGCTGGCATGGTAACACACACCTGTAGTCCTAGCTACTTGGGAGGCTGAGATAGGAGAATCGCATGAGGCCAGGGGTTTGAGACCAGCCTGGGCAACATATCAAGACCATAATTTAATTTTTTTTAATTAGCCAGGGATGGTGGTACATGCCTGTACTCCCAGCTACTCCAGAGGCTGGGGCAGGAATTTCCTTGAGCCCAGGAGTTCAAGGTTTCAGCAAGCTATGATTGCTCCACTGCTCTGGGCAACAGGGTAAGAGCCTGTCTCTAAAAAAAAAAGAAAGAAAAAGAAAAAGAAAATATTTGTAGAAGGTAGAAAGCTGTTTTGCAAGATTGCTTGGATAAACCATAATATAGTTCATTGGTTATTTAAGGATATGCTTAGTTAACCAATGAGCATATTATCCTTACAGTATTCCTGGCATTTCACATTGAATATATTGATATTCAGAGAGTGTATCAGTCGGTTTTTACTAAGTAATGATGCAATAACAAACACCCCTCAAGTCTCGGTAGTTTGCAACAAAGAAATACTTTTCACAGGTTAGTTGCAGCTCTCCTCCATTTTGTCTTTATTCTGAGACCTTGGCAGAAGCAGCCACCACCTGGCCCTGGATCCCAAACATGCTCATGCTAGAAAGGAGAAGAGAAGCCACACCATGGCTTTTAAAGCTTCTGCTCAGAAGTAGCACACGTCACTTCCTCTCACATTTTGTTGGCAGCCAAGGCAAGTCACATGGCCAAATCTGATGTTGACGGGGCAGAAATATAGTCCCCTCATAGGGAAGAAAAATATTTGGGAACCAGAATAGGGACCATGGTGGTAATTTGAGTGGAGAGTGTTTAAGAGCATTTGTCTCTGGAGTCAGACTTTCTGGACTCGAAGCCTAGCTCTACCATTTACTGTCTGTAAGACCTTGGACACATTACTCAATCCTTTTGTGCCTCAGTTTCCTCATATATGCACACCTACCACATAGGGATGTTGGGAACATTGAATGAACGAAGACATATAGATGGAGACAGAGATACATAGAGACAGAGATAGAGCACTTATAACACTGTTTGGTGCAGAGTAAGTATTGGCTGTTACTACCGTGGTAATGATTGGAAAGCCATCAGCCCAAATGCGTCTCACCTGCCTACGTTAGCCCAGGCACTCTAGCTCTCAGAATCCCATATTAAAATCTCCCACATTCTGAGAGGGCTAAAGCCTCAACTTCTTATGAGCTAATGCCTTGTTGGGGATTGCTTTGAGAGCAAGTCCCTGCAGGATATGACCTAACAGAGTGTTCTGGAGACAGAGAAAACAGAAATTGGAGGACAGGAATCCCCAAAATACCACTGATAAAATACCAAAAACAAGGTGACTTGAACAACAAAAATTTATTTTCTCATAATTCTGTAGGCCAGGCATGCAAGACCAAGGTGTTGCCAGGGTTGGTTTCTTCTGAGCCTCTCATCCTGGCTTGTCCATGGCTGTCGTTCTCCAGTGTGTCCACCTGGTCTGTTCTCCATGTGTGTCTGTGTCCTAATCTGCTATCAGGACACTAGTCATATTGGAGGAGGGCCCACTCAAATGACCTCATTCTACCCTAATGACCTCTTCCAACGTCGTATCTCCACATACAGTCATATCCTCGAGTATTGGAGGTTAGGACTTCAATATATGGATTTGTGGGGACTCGCCTCATCCCATAACACTTGGGTACACATTAGAACCCTCTGGAGATGCCCAGATGATGCCATTGGCCTACACCAACACCATCAGAATCTCTGCGGGTGGGACGCAGGACTCTGACCCTCTTAATGCTCCCCAGGGGCTGCCCATGTGTGGCCAAGTTTGGTCGGCGCTGGAGCAGCCTACCTTCCACTCAGAGCACCCGAGTGCCTCTTTGATGGCCCAAATCCTGCTCCACCACAGATCTTCCTGAACCCCCATTTGTCCATCACGATCCTACTGAACTGACCTGGAAAGGAACACTTGCTGGCAAAGACAAGGGGCAGATACAGCCAACGCTGTACGTTTGTCTTTCCTCTCCCCCTGATTGATCCCTTTATACAACAATAAAACTTTTAAAACATTTAACCTGAACTGAGGCTGTGCCTGGGACACAATTAATCAAACTCTCAAAGAATCATGTTACATTATGTGCTTGGGACGTTGATCCTCTTTACTAAAAGTTGGCCTGAAATACAACCTAGATACAGGGTATCGGATCCGTAAGAAATGGCGGGGCTGCTGTCAATGGTTTTGTGTCTTCACGTGATAGGTGGTCCTGGAGCAGACCAGACCACAGAGCAGGACAAATTTCAACACAGCAGAGAGGACATCAACCAGCCTTCAATTTGCCCCAAATTTCTGGGAGCAGGAGTACAGAGAAGAGAGGGCTGATTATCATGTGTTCCTATAATCTGCTGTCACCGAACTTAAATAATAATCATAATTCATGGTCTTGAATTGATTACACACAATGCCAAGATTCCTGGCACCACAGAATTATCCCCAGAGAGGCACATGTTTGGGGTCCTCTCTAAATCCAAATTTTATAGGACCAAGTACATCCCTCCTTCTTAATTCACAGGTATATGTCAAGCCAGTAACAATTTCTAGCATCTCTGTGCAATGCTTTCTAGTTAACTAAGCACTTCGATTTCCTCAGACTCTTTTGAGCCCCATGAGGTAGGTGAGGCAAGATTTAGGGTCCCTATTTTACAGAAGAGGAAACTTGCTGGGGAAATGATGTGTATTGCCAAGGTCATGGAACTCGTGGTAGAACTAGAATACAGTGCCTAGTTCTAGGACTCAGTTCCCGTGGCTTTCTGCAATGCCCTGCTCCAGGCAACGGGGGAGACCACAGAGGAAATCAGATCTTGCGCTGGCCCCAGGCAAAATCACATTATGGGCAAAGCTCCTTTGATGCCTTCCCTGTCTCCTCCGTGCATCCTTCCCACCCTCCTACACTGCAATGAGCATCTCTGGGTCCAGAAGTCTCTTCCTGCGCTTCCCTCTTGAAACTACCCTGTCTTAGATGGCCCAGTCGAAAGAATCAGACAGATGTGCCCTCAAAGCCCAGCTTGCCCGTGAGACCCAGCTGCGTGACCTTGGGCGAGTTACAGCAGGCTTCTGAGTTTCCTCCTCTGTTAAAACGGATTTTCACAAGAACCTACTTCTTAGGGCTGCATGGAAGATGTATGAGTCATGTGCAGAAAGCACTCTGGACCATGTCTGGCATTTATTAAGCATGCAAAAAGGGCAGTTGTTTTAAAAAAATTATGTATATTTAGGTATTCATTATATATATCTGGTACAATAGCTAACATTTTTCAAGACCTGCTGTGTGATGCTGTGTGTTGCCTTGTTCTCAGTACTTTTCATGCTTGCCTTTATTGAATCCTTGTGACAACCCTGGGAAGCAGATGCCATTATTATCCCACTTTACAGACGGGGAAACTGAGACACAGAGCAGTTATTGAGAGCCAGCAAGGGACGGAACCTGGATTTTGAGCCTCCGGGGTCTGACTCCAGAACTGACACTCTTAGTTCAGGGACAAACATGCAGTTGTGGGCGGTGACAAATGTCTAATATTGTCCTTTGCTATTTGCATTTTTAAATAAGAATATCTTTGAAGCAAGGAAATAGCTTAAGCATACCATACTTCCTTGGAAAGTTCTGATCCCACAATGGCCAAACATCAGGCATTATAGCAGAAAGTACGGACAATACCCAGAGAACGGGATTTCTAGGTGCCACTGCAATGTTACCATCAGTATATATATATATATGTGTGTGTGTGTGTGTGTGTGTATATATATATATTTTTTTTTTATTTAAGGAAAGAAATCACAAGGAAATGTTAACTGTAACAGTTTTTGTGGAGAAGGACTGGGCCAGGGTGAGGACAGTAGGATTTTTTCCCTTTTCATATAATACTTTTCTGTATTTGAAATTTCAAACCCAGCTCTACAAATTGGTTTTGTTTTATACTAACAGGGTTTATCTAAACTATGTAAGAAAATGGTTATTAGTTATTTTCTTCTTTCTTTATACCACATTAAAAAATTAATGAATTTCCTGTGTGAAAATGATGCCATGAAACCAACCACTTGCTCCATGGCCTTGAATTGTCTGTCGTCTCAATGTGGAGCTGAGCATATAGAACTCTCCAGAGGAAGAGTTTATGGTGCCAGGCCCCCAGCATTGTCTGTAAAGACCCAAAAAAATGACAGAATTAAAACACCCAGCAAGATGAGATATAATTAAGTGCCCAAGAACACAGAGCCATCTCTTGAGACTGGAGGAGTCCAGCTCTCTTCCCAAACATGGTATTTCCCCTGATGTTGTTTTTTTTTCCCCCTGCACCAAAAATTTTCCACTTTAATTATGTGGGTTAGGTCAGAGGAGCTCACCTTCAGAGCTTTACGTGCGCAAATAGCTAATCCCTTCCATAAGACACATTTCTGGGAAAGCCCAAAGATAAATGTTTACAGTCTGTGCTGGGATAATAGAAGCCAGTGAAATTCGAAATGATTTAAGCATTATGTGTCCATGCCCTAAGAAACAATTTCGGGAGAGCTCTAGCCTGTACGTTCTGGAATCCTGGCCTTCGTTCTCACAAAGAGTGGAATCGTTGGCAATGCTCGTAGGTTAAATGTTTTTCTCCCTTTTCCTGATTTTGCATAAAACATGAGGAGGATGGTAATTAAAGCCATACTTAAAATATTAAGTCTACTACCTAAAAGGAATGAAGTTTATTGAAGTTGCTAAGCGTTAAGTACAGAAACTCAAAATAGCCGGAGTGCACTGACCTCGGCATGTACCCTAAGTGTTGGCTGAGCATAGAGATTGGTGAGTGGGCACATGTGCACATGCTCACACACACATGCACACACTCACACTCATCAATACACTGATATATCAATACATGGAATGCATTTCTCAAATAACTAGCATTTGACAGGCAGAGAGCAAAGATGAACCCCCAGTTAAGGTGCTCAGAAGGGCTGTTCCTCAGCAATATTGCGATATGGTCTCATAGGGGGCCATGGCATGTACTTTGGTAGGGTGTAGAGCAGGTTGTCAGGAGTTACCTCACACAATCCCCAGCTCAAAGTGAAGAGGTCTTTGGTCAGTATAAGGACCCCTTTGCCAGGGCATCTCCGAGGAGTCCAGTTGGAAAGAGCTGATCACTCTTCCTCCTCCCCAAGGGGCAAGGTGGAATCTACTGATGAGTCCAGGTAAATTCCAACTATGGTCAAAAAGTATCAGTTACCACCCTTTCCTCCCGCACCTAAGGTCATAAGGAGAGGGCACAGGGTGCAGTGGCTAAAAGCTCAGTCCTGGGTTCAACTACCAGCTTTGGACATGGGACAACTCATGCCACCATCCACAACCCATGCAATCATGAATGGTCTCCACCCTCCAAGGCTTCCTCTCACATAGAAGTTTCCCAGCTGCCTCGATCCCCACCCCAGGCCAAGATGTGGCTGGAGGTGCCTTTCAGGAGGGCAGAGAGTCACCTGGGAAACCCACCAGCACGGTGAGAGCTGCTGATCCCACATCCCGGCAGGGGCTGTACCCAGTCCAGGAGTGTCTTGAAAAGCAGCAAGGACAAAGGACATGCAGCACTTCTATTCACATTTCATCGGCCGAAACAAGTTGCATGGTCACACCTAATTCAAGAAAAAGAATCACAAGTCTTTTGAGTGCATAGCAGTTGAGGAAAACAAGTTATCAGTGACCATCATAGCTCCCAAGCCAGTCTCTTAAATATTCTATTTTTATTTTATGTTATTTTTTTAGACACAGGGTGCTGTTCTATCACCCAGGCTCCAGTGCAGTGGTGCAATCATAGCTCACTGTAGCCTTGAACTCCTGGGCTCAAGCTGTCCTCCCACCTCCGCCTCTCAAAGTGCTGAGATAACAGGTGTGAGCCACCATGCCCAGCTCTTAACTACTCCATATGGCACCGCTACACCTCTCTCTGTGATAGGACCAACCATCGTTCAACTTCCCCGGAAGCAATTTCAACAATCCTTACTTAAGTTCCAGGAAAAGCATCAGGGTTTTAAATGAACTAATTAATCAGCAACCGTTTCACGATTTCCAACCCAGCCTTGTCCCTTTCCTGCCCATCAGCAGTGCTCCGTGGTCAGCGGTTGTCCTCCAGTTGCCCCAGTCAGCTCAGCTGAGACCAAAGCCACCCACCCCTGTGCCCAGGGGCTCTCCTCGTCCCCCATCCATCACCAGAGCCCAGTGAACTCACCTGTGGATGCCCGGCTCTCGCTTGATGTCTCAGTTCCGGAACAGAGATGCTCCAGCTGCTACCTGGGAAGGCTCTGGCCCCAAAAATATTTAGTTAGCAGCCATTCACTTAAGTGGAATTGACTTTTTATCGGCTTTCCTCTGTATGGCTGCCACCAGCGAAGGCTGTTTCCTCCTTCCCTCTTCTCTGCCTGTCAGTTCCCTCCTCATTCCTATCGGCAGCCTTTAGCTCTGATCAATACTAACCGCTGTGTAACAGCTCACGCACGGCTGCTCGGGTGTGCATCGATCAGACCCTTCTTCCAACAGGTAGTCGGCTATTTGAGGCAATGACTTGAGATAAACACCTACTTTTACTGCAGGCTAATTCATTTCAGGTGGATTTCAAGGAGGCTTCGCACCCCTTCTCTTAGACAAGCTGAAATCGGAGGATGGAGATCAACGCCCCTCGCGTGCTTGAGATCCTAGGAGATCTTTCTTCCTTTCCCCTTTTTTTCCTTTCCCTTGTATTTTGTAAAGTGCCACTTATAAATAAGATACCAGGACTTGGGACATTGAAAATGCCACTTGAGAAAATGTGTCGGCCAATCCATCCCTCTTCCCTTCCAATGAGATGCATCCGGGACTGCAGGATACCTGAGGCAGCATTGTCGCCGGGCAGCAAAGCACCCTCCCAGCTGCCCCAGCACGAGCCTCACAATGTCCCACAGCCCTGGTCCTCTCACCACCGCGGGGGGGGGGAGGATGGAGGGCGGTCCTTGAATCCACACCCATCCTCTTTCCAGGCTCACAAGTGAATTTGCCAGGAGCTGCTATTGCAAAATGAGTTGCTGTTTTGCAACTCATTGTGGGGTGTGGGGGCGGCACAACTTCATGGCACTTGTGTTGTAGCCAGACAACATGCGAGGCTGGCTGATGGGCACTTCTTTTTTTTTCCCAACATGTACACTAAGTGACTTGGCTGAATGGCATATCCGATATCATCATTCACCTGGGTCCCAAACCTCCTGTCCTGTTTCTCTTTCTCTACCTTCTCTTGACATGACCAGCACTTCAGTCCCCAAGTGCTGTTGAGCGCTCCCTTGCGGTGCAGTCGCACTGTCCCTTCCCTACACCTGAGTTGCTATCGATCATCCTGAATGAAGCCCTCCTCCCCTGGTGCTTGGACCACTGCAGTATCCTCTAGCTGACTGCCTGGCTTCCCGCTGCTCCCTGCTGTGTTAGTTGTGCAGATGCACAACTGCATGCAGACGCATTTCCTGGTGCCCTGCTGGGATGGCCAGTCTCTTCTCTGAAATCACCAGTGGTTTCCTGTAGCCTGCCAGACTGGAGGCCAGATTCCTTAGCCTGTCATTCCGGTCCTTGGCTTTCTCTCCAGACTGTCCCCCACCGTCCTCCAGCAGAGATGCCACCTCTAGTCCATCTGGATGACGTACCACTTCTTCTGCAAGCGCTTTCCAGTTCTGTGCCTAAAAAATGAATGCCATACCCCACACGCCCTTTGAAATTGATTCAGATCCTGGCTTCACTACTTATTAGCTCTGTGACCTCCAATGAGTTATCTAACTTCCCCTGGCCTTGATTTCACATCTTTGAAATGGGGATAATAATAGTACCACCCCATAAAGTGGATGTGAGGATTAAATTAATATACGTAAGGCATTCAGAATGGTACCTGCACGTAGTAGGTTCCATGTCAGTGTTTGCTGTTATCGTTGTTATCATTCCCTTCATTCCACCAAGCCACTGCTCAAAGCACACCTCTTCCCTGAGTATTCCACTGGTTGCCCTGGGCAAACATACTCACTTCCTCTTCTGCCACCCATAGCCCTTGGTTTCTACTGGTAATATAATAACTACAGCAAATAGTAATAATCCTGAGAGTTAGGCACTTGCTTAGTGCTTTTATATGCAACTTATTACTTTTAGATCCTTGGGCTAGGTACCTTCCATTTGCCCGGGGTCTATGCTCCCTCCTTCTTTTGGCCACAGGAGACTGATCCATATGCCGGGTGGCTTCTAATCACACTTGGCCAACGAGGAGAATTGGCAAGAAGTTAGGTCAGAGTTTTCATTCCCCCCAGACTCTTCCCGGCCACATCACTGCAGAATGGCCTCATGGCTCAGGGCAAGGTTGCGGCTCATGTCAAGCAGGCCTCTTGATCCTACCTGCTCTGTCTAAAGCTTCTGGTCACCGTGGTCTCTCCTGGCCTCAGCACAGCTGGGTGGTATCATGCCCTGGGACACTACTACACTCTTCCTATGGTTGTGTGATCAGAACCCTGATCACACCTTTGTAGATACTATAGTCCCCATATAGACTCTCCTCAAAGTATCCTCATGCAGGTGTGTCACTCGGGCTGACACCCGTTCTCATGACAATCCTACAAGGTATGTACTGTTCTTTGTTGTTATCTTTCTTGTAAAAGAAAAAAAAAGCACACCCCAAATGTAGAGGCCTAAAACAACAGTCATTTATGAGCTCACCATTCTGGTGATTGGCACTCTGGGTTGGGCTTAGCTGGGAAGTTCTTCTGCTGAATTCATCTGAATTTGCTCGTGTGAGTATAGTAGGCTGTAGGATTATCTGAGGCCTGGTGGCCCCAAATGGTGTCATTTGTGTGTCTGGAAGCTGGTGTGGATCTACACAGCTGACCAGGCCACGTGTCTCCAGTATCTAGCAAGCTAGCCTAGACTTCTTCACAGGGTGGCCAGATTCCAAAAATAGCAAAAAGAGCAAGGCTCAGTCTGCAAGCACTTTTCAAGCTTCTCCCTGCACCAGGCTTTATAATGTCCAGTAAGGCTAACCCGGGCTCAGGGCTGGCAAAACTGACCCAGCTCTTGGTGGGAGGAGCTGCAAAATACTGCAGCCATTTTTTTTTTTTTTTTTTTTTTTTATCAATCTATTACACGGGACACTCCTTTCCGGAAAGATGCATGCTTTGACAACTTCACTTCCTGTATCCTCATAACCCGAGTCAGAAAAGCAGTGTGGGCCAGCCCTGCGTTTTAGGGGGCGGGGAGTGTCCTCTTTATAGCTTGGTGAACATCTGACACTCTTCCTGCCTGTTACCACCAGACTGAAAATAATTCTGAAAGGGAAGTCTCTTAAAACTTAGCATGAGGGAGTGGAATTTTTTTTTTAATTAGGCTTCAGCAGAATTTTTAAAAGAATCTTTCTTTTCTTCAGTTGCCTCTCCCTTGTTATAAATTTTAACTCCACCCAGCGGCATACCACAGCCAGCCTGGCGTCGCCTTCCACTCCACACCACTGTTTGCTTGGCAGCAGCACTGAGCTCGCAGGGCCACAGCAGGCAGAGGGAGAAGTCTTCCTTCCTACTCTCCTCACTTCCTGCTTTCTTTTTTCCCTTCCTCCCAGAGCTCATCCATGTCCGCTCACTCCTGCTCTGAACCCCTCTGGTGCCCTCCTAAAAGCAGGATGCTAGCAAGAGCTGAAAAGTTCATATGTAGGGTTGGGCACTCCCAGGTTGGGCACTGCACACAGTAGCCTAGAGAAACAGCTAGAAGACTAGACCTCCAGACAGAAAATTCATCTAAAAAGCAGTCATATGTGAAATTATATTTCAAGATACCTGTGAACTTGATGTAGCTAACCACCTGTTGATTTATTTCACAAGTATTGATTGAGGACCTACCATGTGCCAGGCTCTAGAAATATAAAATATGGTCCCTACCCATGAGAAACTTACAGTCTAGCAGGGGTGAGAGACACAGAAAGGTAATAACAAATTTTGAAGTTAAATCCTATGTAAAAGGATTTAACACAAAGATGTTAGGACACCACTGGGCTGAACCTGGATGACTAGGCAAGATGTTCTCAAGGAGGTGCTGTCTCATATGGTCTAGCCCAGAGCTGTCCCATGGAAACATAATTCGAGCCATGCATATAATTTTAAATTTTCTAGTGGCCACATTAAAAAAGTAACTAACAACAAACAGGTGAAAATAATCTTAGTAATGTATTTCATTCAACCCAATATATCTCCAGTATTGCCATTTCGGTATGCAATCAATATAAAAATTATTAATGAGATATTTTACATTCTTTTTATGGTACTAAGTTTTTAAGAAACCCAGTGCATATTTTAGACATACAGCACATCTCAATTTGGATGCCAAACGTTCAACAGTTAAAGTAAAATGTAGTCCTATCAAAGCAATAAAGTTGTGTTTAACAGAAACATATTTTATATTGCTTCAACTTAAAATTTGTAATTTAAATTAATTTAAATGAAATAAAGTAGAAAATTTAGTTCCTTGCTGACGTTAGCCATATTTCAGGTGATCAGTAGCTATGTGTGGCTAGTGGCTGCCATATCGAAGAGCAGAGGTCTAAAAGGATAAACAGATGGAAAGCGAGGAAAGTAGAAGGCATGGGGCAGAAAAGTAAAACACAAAAAAACCCAGCATGAACAAAGGCACATAAAATAGTATGAGGGCCAGGCGTGGTGGCTCACACCTGTAATCCTAGCACTCTGGGAGGCCAAGGCGGGAGGATTGCTCAAGGTCAGGAGTTCAAAACCAGCCTGAGCAAGAGTGAGACCCTGTCTCTACTAAAAATAGAAAGAAATTAATTGGCCAGCTAAAAATATATAGAGAAAAAATTAGCCAGGATGTACATGCCTGTACTCCCAGCTACTCGGCAGGCTGAGGCGGAAGGATCGCTTGAGCCCAGGAGTTTGAGGTTGCTGTGAGCTAGGCTGATACCATGGCACTCTAGCCCAGGCAACAGAGTGAGACTCTCTCTCAAAAAAAAAAAAAAAAAAAAAAATAGTATGAGGTTTGGAACTCTATGCAGTTTAATATTACAGGAACACGGACAAGACTAGTGACAAGAAATGAGCTAAGGGGAGAGGATGGGCAGGGGACAGTCAGAAAGGACTTGAGTGCTCCAGAAGGGTGAGGAACCTCATATTTCACATGCACTTACTCAGTCTGGGGGAAATGAGCCCAGGGGGAACTATTTGGAGTTGGCCCCAGTAGGGACCTCTGAAACCCACCGTGAATGAATCCACCCTCCTGGCAGCCCAGGGTGGAGGCTCAGCAAGTCCACATCTGGGATGAGGAAGCTCCAAGTACCATCACCTTCGGGGTTGGGATTT